TGAATATATCATATCTTACATTTATATACTTGTATGTGTGCGCATGAAAGGCTGACTATAAACTATCGTCGAGTACGAGATAATCTCCATGCTAAATGTGTAGGAGGACTTCAGTAAGCCACCAAGCTCGCCAATCAGTGGCTCTTACGTTGTGACTATATTTGAACGCCAAGAATATTTTCATTCATAGCTCGAAAAGCTAAAGGTTACTCATTTCATACTCCACACTGAGCGCTATTCTTATAGCTCAGCCTTACTTCTATAACGTGATGTACACACGTACCACCTATTAATGTTAATCGTCCAGTCCCAACCACAGGCACGCATCTTATCCCAGCTAAGTCGCTCCACACTTTTCTGTCAGGCATACCTTCTGTACTATGATATTCCCATCATCCCAGCTTATCCTCCCTTTCATCTGTACATTCACATACCTTCTCTACTATGATATTCTCATCATCCCAGCTCATCCTCCCTTTCATATGTACATTCACATACCTTCTCTACTACGATATTCCCATCACCCCAGCTCATCCTCCCTTTCATCTGAACATTCACATACCTTCTCTACTACGATATTCCCATCATCCCAGCTTAGTCTCCCTTTCATCTGTACATTCACATACCTTCTCTACTACGATATTCCCATCATCCCAGCTTAGTCTCCCTTTCATCTGTACATTCACATACCTTCTCTACTACGATATTCCCATCATCCCAGCTTAGTCTCCCTTTCATCTGTACATTCAATGGCGTCTTCTCCGTCGGCAACGGCCCGAGCACTTCCAACAACTGCTGGCGCACTAACATCTGTCTGTCCTCCCATGTATTCGTATCTTGTACCCCACTTATAACTTCTGACCGCTCTTGTAAGGTACTACGTACATCGTTAAGAAAAACTCTGCGTACTAGTTCGGTGTGATCTGTCATCCAGTGTCTGGATTTGCTAAGGGGACGTATAGTCCAGGCTGCCGGGGCCGCATCTGTGCTACTTGATGAGATGTGTAGCCATAGGGACATACACACAGTAAAGTACACGGATGAAAACATTTTTTAAATATATCGATCCACATGCACTTATATATAAATGTGTAAATACATGTGTGTGTACTTATATGTCCTATGAAAGCAACCAGTCCGTTGCTAGGAAGGAATTCAAATTGGGACTACGTTTTCTAATCGTCACTTCGAGCGATACATTTCAACACAGGCTTTTCGACAGTAGCAAATAGTACTATCTACGTAGATTTCCCATGATTCCCGTGTGTGTGTGTGTATGTGTGTGTGTGTGCGTGTGTGACTGTGTGTGTGTGTGCGTGTGTGACTGTGTGTGTGTGTGCGTGTGTGACTGTGTGTGTGTGTGCGTGTGTGACTGTGTGTGTGTGTGTTAAAAAAATGTGTGATATACCACAGCCTGTGTCACGTAGAAGGCTATATGGGTATACATGCATATTTTGAAGCACTATACGTGAATATTTATTTGAAATGTATTTACGAACTCTTGTGTGCTTTGTAAAAGATACTCCATAAAAATTGATGACAAACGGTTATACCAAATAAGGGAAATGTAGCAACCCGTGGTCACGGCAATATCTGAATATCATTACATTGTAAAATACGATGCACACTACTGGTTGAAACTAGGAACTGTGTACACCCCCCAACCGGATTTGGTAATTTTTAACAGTGGAATGGCTTTTTTTTAAGCTTAGCAGCTGTTTGAGCACACATATGATGATATGAACGTTAATATGTATGACTTGAACTTGTCTTAAAGTATATACAGTCTATATATATAGATTGATTTACACACATATACATATATGTGTGTATACATATATACTAAATAAGACTTAATAAGTGATCAGCTAAGAAGTGACTATTGTCCGACAACCATGGCAACCGGTGCTCAACATATCGATGCAACCATTGACCTTCAGAAGATATACATAGAAGCTGTACAACACCCCGTTTTCTCCACATGGGCCGGTCCAACTGTGTCGCCTCATTGGCAGCAAACACTATCAGAGACAATCCTGGTCATGTGTGTGCTGGCTTGCTTTGATCTTTCGGGAGTTAGGAAATCTCCTGCTGTAAGTATGTATGTATATATGTATGTATGTATGCCGTTTATAAGTACAAATGAGGTCCGAAGCTGTTTTCCAAGTAGAGACCATTTCCTTTAGTACTACTAAGGCTGGCCCGACAATGTCGTCTAAATTATAGCACACACGCTGACGAAAAGCTACATCTGACGATATTCGCACTTGGTATTTTTGAATGGATGCTACAACTCAGTTATCCGTGATAAACTTATTTGAGTGCATTTTGGTGGCGCGGTTAATCGTCTTGCTCTTATATTGAGGCGTCGTATATCCATTTAGATATAAACAATATATAAATATGTGTGTATGTATGTATGTATGCATATACTTGTATGTATGTATATACTAACGTATGTATATACTATATATATGTATATATATATA